CTACTACTTCGGCTCCTGATGACACCGACGACGAGAGTGATGAGGATGATTATGTAGATCTCACTCCCTAGTTTAGATCTCTGGACATTTATGAACTTTTTGAAATTTTAAAACGAATTTTAAAAGACTTTATAAGTCTTTAATTTATGATTTAGATACTTTTGAATGTTATTTTAAGTTTGTTGTTTTATGTTTTGTTTAGATTGTTTATAATTGTGTGTGTTTGATTGGGCTGAATAGTGTAGAATTTAATTTAATTTAATTTGCAGGTGGGCAGCAGCAGCTGCGAGCTATTACTGTCAAAAATATTGCAGAAAAAGCGACGGACAGCGTGGTTTTGTCCGTCGCTTTTTTGGGTTTTAAAAATAAATTTTCCAGAAAAGCTACGGACAGTGTTCTTTTATCCGTCGCTTTTCTGGGATTTTCAAAAAATAAATTTCCAGAAAAGCGGCGGACTGCGTCGCCCTTTAGAAATTAAAAAAATTAAAATTAAAATAAAGCGACGCAGTCCGTCGCTTTTAAAAAATAGTAAAAAGTGACTCAGTCCGTCGCTAAAAGAGACGCAGTCTGTCTCTAAAAGCGACGCAGTCCGTCACTTTTTTAAAAACGACGTTGTCCGTCGCTTTTTGAAAAGCGACGGAAGTGACTGCATCACTTTTCCGTCGATTTTGACCAAAAAAGCGACGCAGTCCGTCGCTTTTGGCCGTCGTTTTTTGACAATTTTTTAGTAGTGTTTAAAGCTGTTGATAATTCGGGGATGAAACTAATAATTTGCGTCAAATTCAAAGGTATCTCCAATACTTCTCTTTTTATTATTTTACTCAAATTATTATTTAATTTTATTAGGTTAAACATTTCATATATTGAATTAAATAGTCATTACTCATATTTGTATCTTTCCATATTAAATTTGACTGGAAGTAACTTTAAATTATTCAAATTTTGACTCATATAAGTTGTTACTTTTAATTATGATACAACTATAGCTCTGTCTTTTTTAAATATTTTGGGGTGGAACGGGGGGTAGATATTTCGAAGTTAATTATGATAGCTGTCGTAAATTAATATTTGAAAATTTCTTGCCTTGTATAAGTTGTTACTTTAATTATGATACATCTAATACGCTTAAATAGTTCATGGAATAGAAATAAATTTCTTGCCACATTTAGGTAATTCCTTTTTTAGAGGAAATTTTGTTATACTTTTATAAATTGAGAATTTTTTTTCTTAACAACAATATAATTACATCCATAATATAGTCCTCAAATGAAGTATTGTTTAGAGATTTTTTTTTCTCCCAATAACTTTTTTTACTATCCATACATAAGTCAATTAATCAAATTAATTTAATATACTATGAGTTTTTTATAATTTTCTTTGTTATCATTGTTCAATGTTTCTTTATTAGCTTTTACATGATACTCCATTGTTTTGATTCCAATAACATACTCATAATTTAAGTTTAATCGTATTCAAAAGAGTACATCAAGATCTTGGACTCATCAAATGGCATAGTTCACATAAACATAGTTATGCTTCTTTTTGAGATTAAAAAAAAAATGAATAAGAGTATACTAAAAGAGAAGAGCATGAGAATAGGAGATTATTCTATAACTCTAACCAAATTCACTTTATTTTATTAATTTATTGCTCAATCCGTAGAGGTAGGTTATGTTATATGTAAAAAGAAGGGGTAATGATCTGAAAAATATCCCAACTTTGGTCGAATTTGCTGTTGCGATACTAAACTTTCATGAGGACCTATTACCTCCCTAGACTATTTAATACCGTATTTTAAACATATATATTTGCCCATGTGGACATAAAAAATAATGCAAAATTATAAATAGTACTGTGTCCACGTGGGCACATATATACCTTTAAAATACACTATTAAATAGTTCAGAGGGTAAAAAATACGGTACTAAATAGTCTAGGGAGGTAATAGGTTCTCATGAAAGTTTAGTATCGTAACAGCAAATCCGACCAAAGTTGGGGTATTTTTCAGACCATTATCCCTAAAAAGAAAAACAAATTAGCTTCTAATCTATGATATTGTTCCTTTTGTTTTAATTGGATGTGTAATTTGATTAATATTATTTATAAACATGCATTGGTTATTTAATTTTGTATTACTTTAATTTTTTATTTATAGTTTAACTCGATATTTTGTGAATATTAACTTAGTTATAATGTTATTACTACTCCCTTTGTCCACTTTTAATTGTCATGTTGCGCTTTTCGAAAGTCAATTTGACTAATTTTCAAAGTTACATTAGATTACATTAATTCAATATTATAAACAAAAAAAATAGTTATTTAAAAACTATACGAAAAGTACTATAAATTATAATTTTTTGCATATTCAATATGATGAAAAAATACATCGTTAAATGTTAGTCAAAGTTATTATCGTTTGACTCTAAAAAGTAAATTATGACAATTAAAAGTGGACGGAGGAATTATTTCTTAATCTTGAATTGTTTACTAAAAGAAATTAAAAATCTTGGAATGTTAGACAAACTTTTGAGTCCTTCAAATTCAATAAATTGCCATGATGATTGGTATTGGTTAGTTAATTCAAATAAAGAAAAGACAAAATAACTAAGAAGTAAGTTTGGAGACTTTCCCAGAGGTAATTTAGTTTCATAACACTCATTTTTCTTAGTTTTATAATTATAATATTATGTTGATCTCTCATATTTACATTTTTGATAACAATACTTTTAATCTATTTATTTATTAATAGGACTAAAAATTTATGTTTGGACCAATTAATTACCCTTACTAATAGAAATAAGAAGGTTCAAATTTACAACTTAAATCGGTTGACTTTTATGTAGGCTAGGTATAAAATATCGAAAATCGAATTACCGAACCGAATCAAAATTTTTGGTTATTTGGTATTTGATATTTGGTAATTCGATATTTGGTATGGTATTCGAGAGTAAAATTTTAGAATTATGATATTTAGGTTTGGGCTTGGTATGGGGCATTAGTACCATTTGGTAATCGGTATTTCCCGAATACCAAATTATTTACTTAATGAAGGTCATATATCAACATAGTCATTACTCATTAGTATAAGACCAAAGAGAAAGTTAAAGAATAAGCAGGAATATTTATCCAAATACATATCTTTTAGATGTATCAATTTGTTTTTCTTGATATCTTTTTACTTGTTGATCTTCTATTATATCTTGCGTTCACATAAAAAATAGAAACTATTAGAGAATAGTATTAACTTTGTAATATAATTAGCTATAACTTCAATACGATATTACCGAATACCGTACCAAACTAAAGTTTAATTTACCGTTTCCCGAATTACCAAATCGAGATATAAAAATTTGGTATTTGATATCTACTTTTAACTATCAATAACCAAATTATCAAACCCAAAATTTGAGAAACTCAAACCGAATACCGAAGGCCCACCCCTACTCTCTTATGCATTGTTAAATTCCATTTAATTCAAAAAAAAAAAAAAAAAAAAAAC